ATTGTCCCTAGGTGTGACTAGAGTATGTGATAGAGAACATCCTCAGCTACAACCACAACAAATTTGAGCTTAACATCTGTAAATGTGGCAGAGTTTTAGCTCCTTTTGTGTTTGCTAGCTCAACTTTCCAACAGTTTCATTAAAATCTGTCCGGTGTTTCATGAGATATTTTGCTAACATGGTTGACAGTTAATGGCAAAATTTAATGTGACAGATCTCCCATGGTCTGTTACCACTCAGTGTATGAGTTAAGGATGATGCTTAACTACAACCACAGCAAATTAGAGCTCAATAGTTGCATAACTAACATTTTCATGTTAGCTAAATCCAATTAGCTGTGGCGGCCATCTTGAATCAAGTTGACTACAAACACTAATCAGTTGTGAATCCATTGATTACTAGGCATGTCACGATAACAAATTTTGCTGGGCGATTAATTGCCTCAGAAATTATTGCGATAATATTGTTTGAAATTCGACAATAATTAGTAATTATTGTCAAATTTAAGAAGAAATGTTGGTTAATTTGTTTTGAGTGTAGTACCTTTTTATGACCACTGGATGGCAGTATAAGACTGCTTGAACCAAAGGTTGAATAGTGAGGGAGCGATCAGCGTCTCTTTAAGAAAAATGGAAGAGAGGCTCCTTAACGTGACATGGGCTGTCTCTCTTCGGTTCTCAAAATGGCGGACGCTCGGTGCGGTTTGAACTCTTTAGCATAGCATTTTTCATACAAAGCTTTTAATTAAAAAATTTTTTTTTAAATCAGTGAACAAGTTCTCAGTTTCTTTTTTTTTGCAGAGAAAAACAACTTTTTAGACGAAGGCACGGGTTTCAACCATGAATTTTAGAGCTTCGAGAAGACGGAGGGTTTTTTCTGAGGTCGGCCTGTTAGCTTAGCTCGTAGCTTAGCTTCTCAGCTTAGCCGTTTTTAACGATCCAAAAAAAATGGACATTTTGAATGAATAAAACAGATTTTAAAGAGAAAGGGAGGGGTCAGTGAAGAGCACCAGAGTTCAGCTTTTTGTCATCCAGTGTCCAGTAGAAGAGAGAGACACGAAGAAATTATAAAGCCAAAACATGAAAATGAGGTTGATCATTTTTATTTATCATGCTATTAATTGATTTATTGTTTATCACGACAGGCCGATTGATTACATTAGGAGATTCATTAAGATGAACCCAGTGGTTCATGGGACATTTTGTTGAGACGAATGAACACACACACACACACACGTAGACAATTAGGGGTGTAAATCTTTACCACAATGCAATATTATATTGATTTGTTTGTATGATGATACGATTTTTCTCGATATCACAGTCTGTCACGATACGATTTCGATTCTATTCGATTCACAAGTCTGCGATCGATATATTGCGATATCAAATGCCCATCTCATTTACATATAAATAAATTTACAAAAACAATTCAAATATGATTTAACCATTTTATTTCTGTTGTTACATGCACCAGGCATTTAAACAAAAAACTTTTTTCTTAAATAATGAAAAAATAAAAATAAATAACCTGTTCAGTATAGTCTCACATTTCTTATGTTTAAGTGCATTTTTTAAACACGTTAACTTAAAAGTATCCTGATGACCTTTCAGTTATAAAGAAACAAAAATAGATATTGAGCTTACATAACATGGCTATCAATGCCGTGTTTCTTCTTCAGGTGAACGGCTAAATTTGTTGTTTCCCAGAGTATTTTAAGTCACGCTGGCCCCTGTTTCATACAACATGAGTTCTGTCTGTTGAGCCGTCCTTCTGTTGGAATCAAAAATGTTTCAACAGTGTTGATTTAAATCCAGCCGGAGAGTGAATTTCATTATCTGTGTTTTCTGCCTCGTCTGCCATGTTGCTGAGGCGGCCGCAGCCGCGCACGGAAATGGTGACACGGACGTGCCTTGGGAATTTCAAAGTAAAAGCGTATTTTAAAGCTGACGATATGAATCTATGTTTCAGTTTTGCCACGATATAATCGAATCATTAATAATTTAATCGATATATTGATATAAATCGATGTATTGTTACACCCCTATAGACAATTACACTATCGTCCGCTCTTCGTCATAGCAGAAGACAGTAAACAAGTGGAATATTAAATGTTAGAAAATGTGTAAAATTCTGCTTTAAAACACATTTTGTGCGACAATATTCCATTTCCACTTCAGCTTACGGAGCTGTTACTGGTGGAAGCTGGTAAACAAACTGTGCGCCTTATTCAGCGTCAGCTTTCGAGATAAAGACAAGTTGAGGACACACAATCCAACGCACGCCCTTTTACCAAGAAACAAACAGTCCCCGCATGATTCTTATTACTGCAGGCACCATAAACGTGCTCAAGTGTAAGTAATGAACGTCTGTAAGGCCAGCATGCTGTATGTAGCGTAAGGGTGTGTGTGTGTGTGTGTGTGTGTGTGTGTGTGTGTGTGTGTGTGTGAGTTGGGGGAGCAGGAGGGTGATAATTGCAAACACCTGAAGCTTGTAAGCAGAGCTGTTCTCAGTGACAGTTTGCCTAACACTTTACGACTGCTGCTCATGCTGTATCTGCGAGGATGAAAGCGTCAGGGCGCTCCTCGTGTCAGCGTCTGGGACCTGACACTGTTCAGAGACGAGTCACTGCCGTAAAAATACTTTTTTATTACAGCAAAACTGTCAGGAGTTGCAGTGGAGACAGTAACATCCTCATCATGGTCCGCGGAGCTGCTGCAGAAACACTGCCTCCTGTCGGTGCCCTCGTTTCTGTGCATGTTTGAAAGCTGAGCCCCCCCACTGATGTGGAGTGGAGGGCATAGCTTTAATGGCAGAGATGCCACTCCTGCTGCGTGGCAGAGCAGACAGGCAGACAGAAATACCTCGCTCTGTGATCCCGGCGCTTTAAACGCTTCCAGTTTCAAGTGCTGCGAGTTGGTGCTAAAGAAGAGAGGAGGGTCTCTTCTTACAGCTGCAGTGTCGGCCCCCTCAAAGGCTGAGGGGGACAGAAATTCAGCTGCATGACCCCCCCCCCCCCCCCACACACACACACACACACACACACACACACGCAGCCAGATTTGACTCGTAAACTGTCTCACAAGCACACAAATTAGTTGTGCGTTTTGGTTTAGGGAATAAACACGTTTTAAAGCGTTCAATTGAGAAATCCAATAGAAAAATGTTCACAAACAGCAGTGGGTTTAGATCAAAGGCCAAATGAACAATATGCTCTTTACAAAAATAAAAACTCATCTTCAGACCAGAAACTTAAAAGAACTTTAAATAGTTTTCTGAGTGTTTGCATCGATCACCAAACAGTCATTTACTGACAACTTTGTTAATAATGTTTATTGTTCTCCAGGGTTTTCCCATGTTTTCTGCAAACTTTAGGTGCTGTTTGAACCCTTTAGATATAAAATGTTCATTTCCTTTAGCGGATAGGTGCTATAACTTTAGTTTCTTGCAACGTTAATACTTTAAAAACATTTATTTATAATAAATGTTTTTGTAAAATTATTGTTCATACAAAATACACAGAGATCTCTTTAACACATTTAAAAATATTGTTCTCCTTGAAATATGTTTCTTAATTTGTCTATTGCTAATTTTAGCTTTTAGCTAGCCGTTAGCCTCTTTTAGCTCTAGGCAAGGCCTTTATGTAGCTTCTAGCTTCCATTCTGCAACTTTTAGCTTTTAGCTAGTCTTTTGCTAATTTGAACTTCCAGCTAACAGATTATACTTTAAGGTTCTGAACCATCCTTTAGCTATATTTAGCTTCTAGCTAGTTCTTTCATATTTTATCTAGCACTTGGTTCTTTTAGCTTTTAGCTAGTCTTTTGCTAATTTGAACTTCCAGCTAACAGATTATACTTTAAGGTTTTGAACCATCCTTTAGCTATATTTAGCTTCTAGCCAGTTCTTCCATATTTTAGCTAGCACTTTACTTTGAGCTTTTAGTTAGTGTTTTATTATTTTTAACCTTTCCCTAGCCTTTTGTTACTTTTAGCTTCTAGCTATTGTGTTGCTATATTTAGCTAGTCTTTTGTTACTTTTAGTTTTAGATAGTATTTTACTTCCTTAAGCTTTTAGGTAATGTTCTGCTTCTTTAAGCATTAGCCAGTTAGCTTCAACTTCTTCAGCAGCTTTCAGTGAAGTCACTCAGCATTCAAACTGGATTTTGGTTAAATTGCAATTTTGTTAACCTCTGATATTCTTTATTTTTTAGTCCCACAACAGAAAAGCTCTGTCCGTCAAAAGAAGCAGCAGAGCTCCTTTTAAAGGAACAGGATCAGCTGCACCCTGTTCAAATAGTTCTGTTGTTGCAGAACTACTCCTAGAAGAAAACCTCCCACATCTGCAATAAACAAATCAAAAATCCCCTCTTTCCCTTTCAGCTGCAAATTAAAGATGAAATAAATAACTGAGCCTGATTGTCAGCTCGCATCTTGTTGCTCCGAGCCCAATCACTCCCGTCAGCTTCCACAGGCCAGCTAAAATCTGCAAACCATCAAACACACAGCTGAAGGCTAAAGCTGGAGCCGCTGGGCACCTCTCACGTCACACCAAGAAGCAACTTGACCTCAAATAAAAGAGAGATAGCATCTTTCTTAAATCCACAGGCATGATGGGAGGCGTGCGTGTGTGTGTGTGTGTGTGTGTGTGTGGGTGTGTAACATGATGTGGATCACACTCTGTTCTCCACCCCAGGAAATATCACAGGCCCCGTAATAAACACCACGAGCCAAACGTGGTCCTGACCTGGCACACAGACGCTCCGTCCACACACACACACTGACAGAGGACTGCAGGGTCCATGCTGGACGTCCCAACAATGTGCAGCTTGTTGAGCCACATATAGTCACAGGACGGCCTCTAAACCAGTTTAGGAGACAAAGTCCTTCTTCACACAAAAAACTAACTAATTTACACCCAGAGCACCTTTTAACTCCACGAGGCCGACAAGCAGCAAACTTTTGGTGTGTGTGTGTGGAAGCGTTAAATAACAGAGACAGTACCTGGAGGACAGGAGCACTCTTGACCAACGTCTCTAGCTGTCCGCAGCTTCGGCTCCAGAGACACCATTTTCTGCAAACAAACACGAAGCAAATGTGTGAAAAGGAGAAACATAAATCCAGATATTTTATTGTTAATTCAAAGAATAGTAACATGATTTGTTACTTTTAATATGCAAAACAGGGGCTGATAAGTTTTACCTTCATTGGAGCATACAGCAGATTGTAGAAATAATGACAGACCATTCTTTTGAAGGAATGCATATCACCTGCCGCCTTTCATGCCAGAGTTTCAAACTCAGATTATCTTGTGTATGTTTGGGTAAAGCTTGAAAATAACATTATATACACTCCCCACGCAAAACCTTGTGTGATCTTGTACGACTCTTAAGCTCTGTATCTGTAAGATTCACAGAGATGTAGCCACTTTTATCACAGCTGCTGCAGCTTTCTTGATCGGGTTGAGTCCAAAAGTTATTCAGTTGTAGATGTACATCCGATATTTACTTTCTGAGAGTTTTGATAAAATCTATTCAATGGTTTATCAGATATTTTGCTAACAGACAAAGTTGACTCCAACAGCTGATACCAAGATTTTATGCAAAAAAAAAAAAAAAAGCAGCACAATGTGTTGCATTCAAAATGTGTTGGGGGTAAGGCTCAGCTACTACCACACCATGTTTTAGCTCAACATGCGTAAAACTGGTTAAGTTAAAGCCATTTATGTGTTTTGTAAATCCAGTTAGCTGTTGCAACCATCTTAAATCGTGTTGACTCCAAAAGTTAATCAGTTTTAGATGTACACCTATTGATCACTTCCTGACAGTTTCATCAAAATCCATCCATTGATTTATTAGGTATTTTGCTAACAGACAGATAAAATCCAAAGCAATGGTTGTTGCCAAAGTTTGAACACAGATTTCGCGCTATCAGTTAGAGCTCAGAGTATAAAGTGTGGGTCAGATACAGCTACTATCACACCCAACCTTAGCTCGATATCTGTAAAACTGGTTAAGCAGTAACTATTCTGGTGTTTGTCAGCATTGTCTTGATTTAGCAGCCATCTTTAATCGGGTTAACCCCCAAATTTAAATACTTTTAAAAGTGTATCCAGTGATTAATTTCTGAAAACTTCATTAAGATCCGTTCAGTGGTTCGGGAGATATTTTGCTAACAGACAAATGAGCAGAAGCACGCGCAGAAAGAGGCAAAAACAAAAACGAAGAAGATATAATTAGTGTCAAAAGTTGTAATCAGTCCACGACACGCGGTGATGCTTTACCTCCTCCACCAGCTGCCCTATCGGGGCGCGCAGCTCCGGGACGAGGCTCCCGTCCTGGTTTTGGAGAGACCTGCGCGCGGGCTGGAGGACGGCGCTGATCTCCGCCTGCAGCCGCTGCTCCATCTTGGAGGTCCTGAAGCTCAACAGGAGGCAGAGGGTGATGGAGCTGAGGGACAGGAGCAGGCACAGGGCCGGCACCCACCGCTGGACCCCCGCGGCCCGCGCGCACTCGCACGCGGGTTTGGAGCCGCTGGATGTGTCCATGCCGCCGCGGCGAACAGAAACTTGATGGACCAAACTGTAAAGTCAGGAGAACTGATCGGCGCGACACCAACCAATTATTAGTTTGATGAGTTTCGGGTCAGCACGCGCAGAGCTCACAACACGGGAGTAAAGTGAACCCGAGAGCTCGGAGCTTCTGGCAGGATGCGGCTGCAAACAGATCAGATGTTCTCCTTTCTAAAAGTTGCGCGTGGAAGCGCTCTGGATGCGCCCGCCCTGCCGGACCACGTGGGAGGCTGCAGGGGTGACAGCCTGAGCTGGACCACTTCTGGAGCTCCTCCAGCTTCTGGAGAAAAGCTTGTCCTGAGCAAAAAGGAGTTGATTTGTTTTCCATATGTGGTTCTAAAATGCGGGTGTGCACTCAATGTAAACAAAGCAGTTTGGTAACAGCGGCTGTTTTAATTATGCTTTATAAATAAATTTGACTTGGGCTTAGACGTGGAGGATTAATGTGACAAGAGTAGTCATTTAGCTGGAAATATATGAATCAAGAATAAACTGAGTGCCTTAAAGGCAGCTCAGCGTTCAAACTTCAACAGGTCGATTTAATTACGGCTGCGTTCTTTAACCCAGTGGTTCCCAACCCTGGTCCTTGAGGAACGCCACACTGCATGTTTTAGTTGTTTCCCCGCTTCAACACACCTGATTTGAATAAATGGGTGCTTAACAGGCTTTGGCAGAACTTCAGGAAGTAATAAAATCTGAATCAGGTGTGTTGGAGCAGAGAACCAAGCAGGATGGAATTCCTCAAGGACCAGAGCTGGGAACCAGTTATTTTATTTATTTATACAGGTAGTCTCAATGAGTCACGAGAACTCATTTTCAAGAAAGACCTGTTTGGGAGCAGATGGTGGGAGGTATGTGCCTTGCTCAAGGGCCCAGAGTGGGACAAATGAGGGTGGAGGCAGGTGTTTCACCTTTTCCATCCACATTTTGATGTCAGGGGAGTTGAACCTGCAACTTTCTAATCACAGGCCCATTTTCTCCAACCTCTGCACCACCACTCTCAAAATGCTTTGAACGGACGAACAGTGTCAAGATGTACGAGTGCATTAAAACTTTCAGTCCTCCAACGTTGACCTGTTGTCAGTCACAGGTAGTTTACGTTTAATAAAGTACACATGGAGTCATTAATGTGTTCAGACGGTCTGAATTTCTTTGTGGCAGGGGCCTTTAAAGACTGGAACAATGATGAAGAGTCATCTCTACACGCAGGTCCGTCTTCCATTGTGGAGTTAAATCTGAATAATTTGTTTCCTAATCTTTAACGCAGCCATGTCTCATTTACTTCTGGTGACAACGCTCGTGCTGCCATCGTGCGGACGCGTGCAGTTACTGCACCCATTAAAGAGAAACGACAACTCTTCTGCTGTCATCTTTATTGACACGTTGCAAAAAATTACATTACTAAATCAAAAATGTAAATATCTGAACAAGTTCTATGTACAAGCTTCCTGCCTTAATTCTTTTAAATATACACATCCATAAAACAAAAACAACATGAAGGCTGTGTTCATGTTACATTACCCACCCCCTTCATCACCAAGCAGAGCGAGGAAAAACAAAATGGCAAAATTACAGATTCATTCATTTAAAAAGTTCTATGAGCGTTGCCATGTTACAATTTAAATAATGAAAGAAAAAAAAAAAAACCTAGACGAACTGGAGTTGCATTCATGACATTAAGACGTGTGACGTGAGTGAGTGGGACGAGGCAGGGCAGTGACTGATACAGTCAGATGTTCTCTCCTGGACGGTCAGGAGATGCAGGCTGATGGATCTGTGACAGGAAGGGCTTGGCCAAAAGGTCAAAGTTCACAAGTCCAGCCTCATTTACTACTGCTGCTGCTTCTGCTGGTGCTCTTCCTGCTGCTGGTCTTGTAGTAGCAGGAGAAGAAGGGATGTCTGAGGGCCTGCTCCAAACTGAGGCGCTTTGTCGGGTCGTACTCCATCATCTTCTCGATCAGGTCGAAGAGCTGACTGTGCTCTTCACGTTTGGAAGAAATGTAATGCTGGTGAGGGAATGGAAAGTTGACGTCAGTAAATGTGCTGATCTGAGCTTTGAGTCTTCAGGATTTTAATTTTAAAAACAGCCGTTTTTGTACCTTAAGGGGTTTGCAGTGTTTCTTGACGTATCTCCCCGATGAGCTGTGAACATCCCAGTCCAGCTTGTTGCGATGAACGTATCGCCTTTTTCTACGAAACACACCATCAGCAACAGTCACTACATTTAACATTTATTTGATGCAAGAAAAACACCAGGAAAGGCTTTAACTTCCACATGAAACAAGCATGGGATTGAGTTTGAAAATAAAAAATAAGTAAATGAAATGGATCTCAGACAGATATCAGGTTTACTCAGAAGGTAATTAAACTAGAACTCGTTTCATTCTGCCTTGTGGGTGTTATTCTGTAATCAAGAACAAATCAGCCAATTTAAGGCAAGTCAACCACTAACGAGACAAAACTGGGCCAAATAAAATTAGGACCTCAGTGATTTTTGGTAAAAAAAATTTAAAAAAATAATCCCACCATGCTAAATGTTTTAATAGCATACAAATAAGTTGGAAATGTGCCCACACATTACTGCACTAAATATAATTGTGATGTTACTGGGCACGATTGTTGTTAAAATGAAACTTAAACAAAAGGGAAGTGCTCCACTTTTTATTTAAGAGTTTAATATAAAGACTAGTTTGATAACTATAAGATCAGCTTAGAGATTTGCAAATATACTTTTACTTTTAATGAGAAATATGAGCACACAGCATCAACATTATTACAATATTCAGAAAACATCTTGGACGTTTGCCTTACTTGGTTTTCTCCAGCAGGTTAGTAGGAATGGGGCCCAGAACTCTCTCCATCATTGCAAGGTGCTCTTTACTGTCATGAGTCTGAATGGGAGAACAGGTAAAAATGGTAAATGAAGCAACTAGCAAAGGGTTGGAAAAAAAAACAAATAAATGAAGTCACTCCATGCTGCCAATTACCTGGAAGAGGGTTGTTCCGAGGTAATACTCGATGAGTATACAAGCAATACTCCAGACGTCACAGGAATGGTCCCAGCCCAAATCTACGACACACCACCTACATTAATCTCATGTTGTGTAAACTGCTGGAGCTGAACTAGAGAGGTCACTTACCTAAAATGACTTCAGGAGCACGGTAATGACGTGTCGACACCACAGACGTGTGGTGCTCGTGATCAAAGGTGGCGTTACCAAAGTCAACTATTTTCACATTGGGCTTCCTCAGTGTTCGCTCATCTCTTCTCTGAAAACAAATCCAAACATACGTCAGCTTCATAAACTGTTGTCAAAACCTGTCATCTTGGCCACATCAGCATTGACCTTTGAAATAAATTACCTTTTCATGGTTATATTCCATTTCATAATCTGAATCTATTAGGAGAATATTTTCAGGCTTCAAGTCTGTGTGAGTCAGTTTGTTCTTGTGCAGAACTGAAAGAGAACAAACATTTACATGCACGATGGACTTTTTTAAAACATATTTTTTTGCACACAAAGTGACATGATTACTCACATTTCACAGCTTTAATGATCTGGTAAGCCATGTGCCTGATTTGTTCCACAGGGAAAGGTTGGAAGTTGTTTTCCTTCAGGAAGTCATACGTGCTGAGGCCGAGCAGCTCAAAGGCAATACAGACATGACCGTGGTAGTCAAACCAGTCCAGCATGTGCACACAAGCACTGGAAAATGAAAGACATTTAGTTCAACAGTTTGTCTAATAAAATAAACCTTTTGGATTATGATAAGAGCGTACTTACTATCTATTGTCAGTGTTGAGGGAGTTCAATTGTTTAAGCACGTCTACTTCAGACAAAGCTGCTTCTCGGTAGCGGTCAATGTTTTTAATAATCTTCAGAGCCACTCGAGCTCCATTACTAAAAGACAAAGTTTTTAGGATTAAATTTGGTTAAAACTTTAAAAGCAGTTAACAGAAAAGTCAATGAGAGCTAGCTTTAAAGTCATATTTACGATAAGAACTTACTTTGTGTGATCAATGCACTCAACGACTTTCCCAAAGGCACCCTCTCCTAGAGTACACACAATCTCATCTACAGGAAATAGAGAAATGAAATTAGACTCCTTGGACTGACAAGAGTAAAACACTGGCCTTTAGCTGTGTTACTGCATCAGCTTATATCTGTATGGCTAGAAGTACTAAAAAAAGCTTTATGAATATTGGCCTAGAATTAACTTCATAGTATGTTTAACTGACAAGCAATAGCTGACCAAAACATAAATAAAATGCTAAAATATAAAGAAAATAATCTACTGGCCAAAATGTAGCAGTCTCTAAATTAATGATTGGAAATAACCAGACGAGAGTGAGAGAGACAAAGTGTGAACAACAGTAGAAAAAAAAGGTATATATTCTATACATCTCGCTCTCAGCATGTCTCCACTGTGATAGATGAGGTGACCCTCGGCATCATCCTCAACACTCCGGGATCTTTTCCTGCTCCTGCGACGATGGCTTGTCCTCTGCACCGGAACCGCCGCAATCCGCCATCACATCAACAACCCATCAGACAGCACCAGGCCACCACAATGCGACATCGTCATTCATTCAACCCGGCCAAGGGGGGAGGTGAAGGGGTGGACAGATTCAGCCCGTTCAGTAACACCACCAGGAGAATGGACGGAGCAGCAAATGCAAATTCAGCCCCCGTCAGAGAAATTGGACGGCGGCCACCACATGGTGTGTGTTACAGAAGAAAAACATGGCAACAAGATTTACAGATGAGAGACTTTCTCAGAGTAGTACAGAAAAACAAAACTTCACTAATTACACTTTTCACAACTTCTTTTTCAATATTTCTATATAGCATCATGTCTCATGACTAACCACTTGAACTCTGTCACAATAACTGGGCCCACTTTTATTTCATATTCTAAACACCAACAAAATCTTACCTCCTAAAACAAAATTTATCACATTTGGCAATCATGCTCAGTTAAGAGTATGGTACAGAGATAAAGACAAAGAAATTGGTATTTAGCATTGGCTAAACACCAGTGATAATGACTCAATCTAGTGATATAGACAAGAAGATAGAGGTTTCCATACCGAGGAGGACCTGTGGCGTGAAGGACTTCGTCTGCGCCTTCTGTCTCTATGCCTGTGACTGCTTCGTTTGCTGTGCCCACTACGGCCTGATGACTTGCTGTAGTGGTGCCAGTCAAGGTCTTTCTCCTTGTAGGCATCTTCACGACTCTCATTATCGCAGGCCACATCAAAGCTGCATTCATGTGTGAACTTCTCATGAGAATCCAGCATCTGGTTTAAGCTGTGGGCCTCCAGGTATTGCCTGCAAATAAACAAATTATGACAAACAAAAATGAGCTCTTAAAATGATATCAGGTCAAGTAGAGCCTAAGTTCTTGAGTGATCAAGCACCGACATGAAGAGTGAGAAGGTGGTGCTAATAGTGAGCCTTTTGCCTGACACTCTATCCCCGAACCTTTTAGAACATTTGATATTGGCAGCATGCTGATCAGATAGCCTGCATCGTGCTCAATAAGTGGCTGCAGCACAGGAGACAAATTATTAACCTGATTATCACTAAAAAATAGTCTTGTTAATTAATTGTATTCTTGAGAGAACATGCAACTCCACACATTTGGAAAATTTATTAAATATACAGCAACTACCTAGCCTGGACCTAAAAAGCATTCATCTTGTCAGAGAGCCACATTGGCAGGTGAAAGTTGATGGGGTGTAATTCAAACTGCTATTCATCGTGAAACCCCAGAAGTAAACATGTGTGATCCTATATATGCTGCTTTAAAACTACCCATTTAGTATTGGCATTTCTCAAATTTACACATACCAAACTTTCTCTGACTACAAATATCTGCATTTACTTTTCTTTAAAAATTATAGTAAGTTCTCAGTGCAACTATGTTTCCAATAACTTGTGAGCAAACTCCAGCCCAGTCTGTCATGTTAGCACCCAAAAAAGACCAAGAAACACCTTGTGCCTTAGCACCTAGTTGGTATCAGTTGTCTGCCAATAAGGAGTCTGCCTCTCTACAGAACTAAAATTAGAGTAGATCTGGAAACACCTAATGTAACCTCTTAATATGTGTCCTCAAAAAGCCATCACTGCAACACACAAGTATCAGAAAGCTTTACTTGATAGCTTTGCTTTTTGGAAAACAAAACAGTTGAAAGTGAAAACTTAATTTAAATGTGCTGCAGGTGGTAATGCAGCGTGCGTGTTCTCACCTCTTAACACTAGTAGGTTTGTTTAAGCCTTAATACGCAGGCATATATAATCCAAATATAATCCAATACATTATAAACAAAAACTGCTGTGAGTAAGGAATGGATAGCTATTATGCACCACTGGATGTTAAGTAGTCCAACAGAACATTATCTGAATTCCCATAGGAACTAAAGAGTCATCAAGCTGACCGCAGTTCAAATTCTCCAGCAATAACACGTTCGTAAAACTTTTAAGCAATGCAACAAGGGGAACAAACTATTTTAAATCATATTAATCTTTAAGCTTTTAAATTGTTACTTAAAATAAATCTGTGCTGCAATGTTTTGTCTACAATGCTGGTCAGCCAGTACAAAAACAAGACTGTATTCTTAAAAAGAAATCCAATACTGCCATCAGGTGTCCATATTGAATAAAATGCCTCAATTTACATAAGACCTGCAGTTACATTGCACTCCAGTTTACGAAACGAGCAAGCTTACAACTACAATTTGCATTTACATGAAAAACAGTCATTTACTGCTACAAAACCTGTATAGTTTACCTGTATTACATACTTGGGCCCCACAGACAAAATATATAAACAATAAAAGTAAATACTGTCATGTTATACTGTTTGGCAACAGATTTTCACTTATTTCCAAGTTGCAATACACTGTTAAAATAGTTGTATTTTAATGCTGGTTAGCTAAAACTTCAGACTGACAACCTCACAGAACAGTATGACTCAACTCACTGTAACAATGAATCCTCCCAACAGGCACTTTGCCTTGTAAACACTACAAAATATTTACCCGCCATGAGTCTTGTGATAATGGGGAGCTTTTCTGGATCCGTTTTCTCTTTCGCTGCTGTACGAATCTCGTTTTCTGCGTTTACGACACTCCATTCTTTCCTCCCAGATGCACTCATCCAGCCAGACACCTGGAGAGCGCATTCGCTTTAAGTTCCGCATCTGGAAGATACCCGAGAGGAGGGGGGGGGGGGGGGGGTTATTACATACATCAATGACCAAGTAACTTTTAGTTATGAACCATGCCTGGTACACCTGCTTCCATTACTTTGCCAGGATCTTTGCATTCAGGATTTGATTTAACACTGCATTAAGCATTGGACTACTAATACTACTTTTTACAACTACAGTGAATGCACTTAAAGTTTCATATTGAATGCAAAATGAAACAAACTTCCTACATCAAATTATTGTATTTATCACACTGGCCTATGACATTTCACGGACAGTGAAACTTTCAATGTCAACGAAAAACAACCGACATTTCTACGACTAGGCCGCAGCTGAAGCCTTTCAGCTCGGTCATACTCGGTCCGCAATTAGTTTTAGTTACATGCTAACACTTTAACACAGTATCACTGTAATACTAAACATATTAATTTGCTTGGTGACAATCGACTTCCTAGTGGTGAAAACAATGAACATAGATACTGGTTGGTTCGATTGCGGAAGATCTACCAAGAGAAAATGGCGGCCTAAGGCCCACTGAGGATTTTCAATTACGTAAGCAAAACCGTAACATTAAAAAAACGAATTTTTTTAAATGTATATTTTACTCGCATTGATATTGCAACTGACAGCGCTGTACAAAACAGCATTGTACTTCGAAACATTTAGAAGAATTATGCTTTTTCTAATAGTAAATGCAAACAATAGGTTATGGCTGGGTGGTTGTGGCGAGACGTCAAATTCACGTAAAAGAAAATGGACAAAACGGCAAGTTAATCAAATAAATAACCCCACCATGACTTACCGGTTTAAAATATGTTAGCGTAATTCACAACGCTGAGTTTAAAATGGGTAAATGCAGACAGGCTGAAGACTGGGAATAAAGAAGCTGAGAAATTGCCACCAACACCTCGTTCTGAAAAATGGCGACTACACGCAGAATCCGACAGAACTTTCTGTACTAATTTTCTTGACGCATCACACAATAACCACGCCTACCGTAGTGTGTTATGGGATTTGGTGTCTTTGTGCTACGAAGTTCTCGTAATTCAACAACTAACTATGCTTAATTTTAAGAGCAACTGGACATTTAAAACGTTTTTTTTTTTACTTTGTCTAATAGTCAGTAAAAAATGTTTATGCTTACAATTATGGTTTCAATTGTCTTGGTTTTTAATTCAGATACTTTTAAAATGCCGGAAATATTGTTTGCCTCCAAGTTGTTTGCGCGTTTGGTCGCTGTAATGATGCGCATGCTCAGTCTGTATTTTTAGATGCATTATATTCTAGCTACATCTAATCATATGTTGTCGTTTGTGTATATTCAAGACAGTCTATATTGACTATATGGCCTCTTTCTTCGTCCAAAAAAAGATTAGAAAATGTTCTTAAGTTTGATGTTTCGTCGTTGCGTTCACTTTTATAAACAGTGGGCGTGGATCCAAACTTGCCAAAAAAAAATAAATAAATAACGTTGTTTTTACTTTGAGCTTGGGTGCCCGCTGTAACTGCAACTGACCAGTAGATGTCACTGGTGAGTGCATCTTTGGGGCTTTGAAGCTTCAAATCTTTTTCTGGTACAAACTGGCGCTCATCTCCAATATCTACTTTATATGTATCGTTCAGCTGTGCTCTGCAGTCACTTCGACACCAGGCAACATTGCACGTTAAAGACATTTAGCTATCACAACGTAACATACCAGTAGAATATATAATGTATGTATGTAATGTAGAATTACGTTTGTATACAAAAGTCAATAAAAAAAACAGCAAGTGTAAAGGACCAAAACATTGGAGAAAGATGAACGCCGTGACCGTCCTTGACTGAAAATGTTCATGAATATTTGGGGCATGGCGCCCAATTTGACGCATGCGCGTGACTGACAGAGGGCAGTGTTGCCAGATGGGGCGGTTTACCGCCAATTGGGCGGTTTTCATTCTGATTTTGCGGGTAAAAATTGCTTTGGGCGGGTGGGGATTGGGCGGATTTGGAGTCAGATCGGCGGTTTTTGAGTTAACCTATTAAATACATTTCAAACAATCCATCCATCCATTATCTTTACCCGCTTATTCCATTTTGGGTCACGGGGGTTGCAAAGCTTCCCTGAATGTTCTCCATCTGCCAGGGCGTTCACAACAGAGAACTGGTGAGACAGTTTTTATGTTGGATTTTATACCTGGATTATTGAGCATGGACTTTGTTGTTTTCAACCAATTTGACAAGACTGTCAACAAGGAAGAGGGCTGGCAATGGAGGAGGGGGCGTACCAAAGAGACCATCTTATCACAAGCAGAACTGGTTTGTTCCACTTTGGAGTAAGATGTTGGAGGAAGAATCAGTTTTGTTGTGTGTTTCCTTGACTGACGAAGCCTTCTGGATCGAAGGCAAAACGTTTCAGCACAAAACAAAAGAAACTGTCCAGATGACCTGACTGAAAAATGTTGGATTTTATACCTGGATTATTGAGCATGGACTTTGTTGTTCATAAAGTACTGTTTTACAAAGTGTTTTATGTTCATGCCTGTCATTCACACACACGAAAACATTTGGCAAACAAACAGGCACCAAACTTTTAAAGTGCTCCTTAAATATTTAGGTTAAAGGTACACACTAATCCAACAAATGTATTATTTTGAGTGTTTACAAATGTGTGCAACACTATGCCTGTGGTGGTAAATATAGAAATATTCATATTGAACATTTAATCTGTGTCTAAACAAACAGTAAATATAACAAAATATTGATTGGGCGGGTTTTTGTGCGATGGGGCGGTTTTTAACAGACTTTTGGGCTGGAAAGTCTCGACTCTATCTGGCAACACTGACAGAGGGCGGAAACGGGCGGAATTGTGGGTAAATTACATGTCTGCGCCCTGTATTGCCCTAACCGTGCAAAGCCAAGAACTCGTTTATGGTTTAAACTCCATGCAATTCAAAATCGTCTTGTTGTCGCTCCTTTCTCTCTGAAGATGTCTGAGAACACGGAGCAGAGGAGCGACCCTCACAGAACCATGTCGCAGGCAATGATTTCCGAAATGCTGATAAAGAATTTCGACAAGTTGACCAACTTTGATCAGAAAACCTTGATGTACGGATCGTTGTACCTGGGGGCGAACGCCGGGTTTACGGGGCTGATAGCTAACAGCATGTTGCGGAGGGTCCTGAACGTCGGAGCGGCCCGGATCGTCGCCAACCTGCCGATGGCCGTGCTGCCCATCCTGGTCACACCCGCTGTGTACAACGTGTTGGTCTCCAATCGCCTTGTGAAAGGGGAACTCGACTGTCTCCCCTGCACATTGTCTCAGGGCGCACTCATCGGGATGTTCATTGGGGGACTTTACCCCATCGTCTTGGCTTTACCTTTAAACCTCGGGCTCACGGCCCGGTACGAATCGGCTCTCCTGCCTGAGAAGAGCAACTTGCTACGCTTCAGCTGGACCATTCTCCAACCTGTCATCAAGAAGATGCTGCCAGTTCTCATCTTCCAGGCCTTCATTGGGTCTTACCTGGGCTACATGCAGTTTCAAGCTTACACAAATCTAGTCCAGATAACTTTCAGCAATTCGGACGATTTAAATCGGATGTAAATCAGATTTACTCGAGATTTTGTTTTTATTTCTTCTACAAATAAAATGACATTTCAGCTTTTGTAGGTTGCCTTATTAACATAAAACTATAAAGCAGCAGATGACATAATTAAATACTGTGTTGTGCAAGATGCAAGTACCTCTTATGCGGCGAAAACTTGTATAAACAACTTAAAAGATTATTCAGATCCTCTTAAGTAGGGATTTCTTGACATTCACTTGTTGCATTTAGCTTTCTGAATGCTCTGTAGTCGAAAAGCTTTTTTTAATTTTTGTCCAAATCGACGAGCTAAAAGCTTGACCAGTGTGGATTTTTGCCATTTTAAAAGTGCCTATGCTAACTCAGTTTTTAAAAACTCTTTAGTTTTGCATTCCACAGTTATTCTGGCAGAAATGCTGCACTGGAAGTGCTACAGTTAGCTGCTGCTGCTGCTTGTGCTTGCAGTGAACCATGATATCAAATTTGGTGTACAGCATTGTAAAATTTAAAGGAGTATGGTTTTAAAATAATAAGCCACTCTGATGTTTTTGAGGCTGGAGTAAATTCAAGATGGCAGCAGTTCACTGGTTTTGGCCCTGCTCAGACTGGCCATTAGCTCGTTAACTGGGTCAGAGTTAAACCCCGTTTCTCCAATCAGAGGCTTTTCAAAGAGCAGGTAAGATATTAATTATTGCTTGCCTTTCATGACGCCAGGTGGTAATCTTGTAATCACTTGGATGTGTGTTCATTTGTCTGTTAGAAAAATGTCTCCTGAGTCCCTAGATGGACAGCAGTGAAACTCGGAAAATAATTGTTGAATGTACATCTATATCCCCTCATTTTTGGAGTCAGCCCTGTTCAAGATGGCTGCCACGGCGACTTGTAGCAAAGCACAAAAACAGCTATAACTCAAGTCAGTTTTACAGAGAATGAAGTACAATTTGAGGTGGTAGTTGCTGAGAGTCATCCAAACGACACAAAACCCTAAAAACTTACCATACAAGGGGGCGGGCGACATCATTACTGCTACCGGAACCCCACTTTAAAATATCTTAACTATCTCTTTAAAAAGTACTCCCATGTTTCACAGATTGGAACTCCATTTACCCCCACCCCAAACACTTTTATTTTGAAGGTCATATTTTTAATGCAGTGGCAGCTAATGGAGTTGCACAAATCTCATAATATTTCCAAGGCACTTCTTTCCAGTTTGTCATCTCAGCACTGCACCTAGCACAATGAATACACTAGTCGAACCAACGAAATTATTATTTAATTTTAGGGAATTGGTTATTTTCTCTTAAGATGACAATTCAAAAATAATTTATTAATCCCAAAGGGAATTTAAGTCTTGTAGCTCATCATCCTGGTTACATTCAAGAGTTGTTATAGCTGTGGGCAGGAAGGATCTCCTGCAGCAAACCTGAAGAATCTGGCCACAGATACCAATCTGTCCACCCGGATCAGGCTGGCTGTCAAATCCGGTGGGTCTCTCGGTCCTCCTGGGCAGCAGGACTGCCCGAATGCCAGGCAGATCTCCCTGAGCGATGACCACTCCTCACAGCAGCCTGCTGAACTCGTAGCCACAGACATGCAGAGTTTTCAGAATGTGCCGGGGGATGATCCAGGTCCTCCCGTTGTATCGACTCACGAGCCAAGTTTCCCACCAGCTCCAGGATCTCGGCGGTCAGGTACTTGAGCACCACCACCAGGTTGACAGGTATGCGTCCACAGCGCCTCCTTTTCAGCTCATTTGGAATTTGGGTCTGTATTTCAAGTATTTGAGCTTTTGAAATGTTAATCAGCTGGTTGTTAAAAAAAAAACACTTTGTTGCCTTGTTGCAGAAATGTGGAATAAATTAAAAGCTAAAACAATAAATTCACAAGTTTGTATTAAAATAGCAATTATGTATTTTAAAAAGCTGTTTTATATTTTATTTATTTACCCTTTATTTATACAGGTAGTCTCCTTGAGTCACGAGACCTCATTTTCAAGAGAGACCTGTTTTGGGGCAGATGGGGTTTAAGTGCCTTGCTCAAGGGCCCAGAGTGGGGCAAATGAGGGTGGGGACGAGTTTGGGTGTTTCACCTTTTCCACCCACATTTTGATGTGGTCGGTCCAGGGAGTTGAACCTGTGACCTTCCGATTACAGGCTCATCTTCTCTAACCTCTGCCACCAGTCGCCACATATATATAT